GGCATCATTGTGAGGGCAATATATGTCTTCCCCTCGCTGTCTGATTGTACCAAGTCTTTATTTGTTGGTGAGTCTTGGCTTGGTGTAGCATGGTTTGCTTCTTCCTTGCTGTCTTTACTCTGGTCTGCTATGGGGTCTGACTGAATATCCTGCACCAGGGGCCTGGTTGCGTTATTCCGGCGTCAATTTCTATTCCTGGTTTGGTTGTATCAGTCAGGTCGACTGGGTAGATATGATGACTTCCTGGGGTGAATTCTGCGACGAAGTCTGCCAAAGCTTGGGCCTTTATCGCGGTCCTAGGTTAGAACTTGATGTCGAATTGTCCCAACTTAACTGCCCATTTCAAGATTCGCCCAGAAAAGTTTGCCCTCTCAAACAGAGCTTTTAATGGGAAAGCTGTGAGGACAACTATGGTGTGGGCGTGAAAGTAGTGCGACAACTTCCTTGAGGCCATCATCAAGGCCAATGCCAGTTTTTTCAGTGGCAAATACCTTGTTTCGGCTCCCAGCAATGTCTTGCTGACATAATAGATGGGCAGATGTTGAATTCCTTCCGTATAGACCAATACTGCGCTAATTGCGTGCTGAGAGACTGCCAGGTACAGGAAGAGTTCTTCTCCAGGTATTGGGGTGACCAGTAATGGTGGAGAAGACATGTATTCTTTTAAGCTTTCCAGAGCTTGGTCGTATTCTTCGTCCCATTCGAACTTGGCTTTTAGTGCATGGAAGAATGGTCGTAGTCTGTCTGATGACCGGCTTATGAACCGATTGAGCGCAGCTGCCATGCCGGTAAGATGCTGCACTTCTTTCACTGAGTTTGGTCTCTCCAAATCCTGGATTGCTTTGATCTGGGAGGGGTCTGCTTCTATCCCCCGGTTGGTCACAAGGAAGCCCAAGAATTTGCCAGATCCTACTCCGAACGCACACTTGGATGCATTGAGGCGCAACTTGTGCTTCTTCAGGATCTCAAACATCTCGCCTAGGTCCTTGAGATGGTCATTCTCATCCTTGCTCTTGACCACCATGTCGTCGATGTAAGCCTCCATTGTTCTGCCTAACAATGGTTCAAACATCTTGGTGGTCATCCGTTGGAATGTTGCCCTTGCGTTCTTTAGGCCAAAGGGCATGACCTTGTAACCGTATAGTCCTCTTGGAGTTGTAAAGGATGTGACCTCCTGGTCTGGTTCATGCATGGCGATTTGATGGTAGCCTCTGTATGCATCCAGAAAGCTAAGTCGGTTGTGTCCCGCCGTTAGGTCGACCGGTTGATCTATCCGTGGTAGAGGAAAGCTGTCTTTCGGACATGCCTTGTTGATTGTTTTGTAGTCGACACAGACACGCCACTTGCCATTCTTCTTTGGCACCACGACTGTGTTGGAGATCCATCTTGGGTAGTGCACCTCTTTGATTGCTCTTGCCTCCAGCAGGTTTCCTACTTCTTCCGCCACTATTTCGGCATGGTGGAGTGCCGATCTACGGGTGCGTTGAATGATTGGTCTGGCGGATGGGTGGACATTGAGTTGGTGACAGATGAAGTTGGGATCAATGCCTGGCATGTCGTATGGTGTCCAGGCAAACACTTCGATATTAGAGGTTAAAAATTCCAAGACCTCTAATCTCTCAGTGCTGGACAACGATGAACCAAGCAAAAAGAACTTATTCGGGTTCTTTTCATCTATTCTTACCTCTACCAAGTCTTCCACAGCTTTCTGATTAGCTGCTTTGCCGACATCTGCGAACAGTTCATTGCTCTCAGGTTCTTCCACCGAATGAACGTATCCTTTGGCAACGCGGCTGCCATTCACCGTGATAAAGCATTGCTTGGACATAATCTGATCTCCATAGACCTCTTCAATTACACCGGTATCGTTGGGGAACCGCACTACTTGGTGGTAGGATGACGCCACCGATCGTATGGCATGCAGCCATGTTTTGCCCAAGATGATGTTATAAGTGGAGGGGACCTTTAATACCCAAAACTCCACTTGTTTCGTCACGCTTCCTGCCTTGAATGGGAGGATTATTTTGCCAACGGGCCATTCTGGCATGGAGTTGAATCCAATCAGGGGAGATACGGCAGGTGCCAAGTCCTTATCTTGTAACTTCAACTGTTTAAAGGTGTCGTAGTACATTATTTCACATGAACTGCCTTGGTCTATCAAAATCCGCTTGACGTCAAAATCATTGACTCGAAGAGTGACAACCAAGGCATCATTGTGAGGGCAATATATCTTTGCCAAGTCCTTATCCGAAAAAGACATGACGTTCGTGGCCTCTGTCTTCCCCTTCTTGATGGCAGGTTGGGCACTTTGTATCTCTTTTAAATGCTCAGCCTTTTTGATTGATCCTCTGAGCTCGCATACACGCTCAGGTTCGAAAACTCCATGTATCACATTGATAACGCCTTGAGGTAGGGCGTCAATTGGCATTCCGTTGGGGTTGTTATGGTCCTGGGGGGCTGGTTGGGCCCCTCCTTCAATGTATTTATCTAGGTGACCTGCTGCCACCAACTCCTCCAGGTGCTGTCTCAATGGCATGCAATTTTCAGTGCGGTGCCCCTTTTCTTTGTGGAAGGTGCACCGTGATCTTTCGTCATAGTCCTTCTGAGCTTCCCCAAGCTTAGCTGGCCATCTGACGAAAGGCTCATCCCGTATTTCACTTAGAATTCGGTAGATCGGTTTCTTGAAGACCGTGGTTATGGCAGTGTGGACTCTCAACCATCTTTTATCCTGGTCTTCTTCGTTGTCTCGTCTACCTCGTCCGTTTTTGCTTGGACGGTCTACCGCGTTGACTTTTGCTGAGGTTTTCTTCTCTGGTACTGAGGTTGTGCTAGATTTTGTTTTGGCACGTGCGCCATCTTCTTCTACCCTGATGTGCTGATGCACTCTTTCCATCCATCAAGGCTTCCATGGTGAGGGGTGGTGTCATGGTGATTGAGTCCCTTAGTCTATTTACGACTGGAAGGCCTCTTTTGTACTGTGCAATGGCGAGATTGGTGGGGCAGTCCCCAATCTGATTGAATGTCTCCCAGTAGCGATTATTGTAGGACCTTAATGTCTCTTTTTCGCCCATGTCGATGGAGAGTAGCTGGTTAATCTCCACCGGGGTTTTGGTGTTTGTTCTGAACCTTGTGACAAATGCCTCCGCCAATTGCGCCCAGGAGGCTATGCTGCCTTCTGGAGGTTTTTCAAACCAAGTCAAGCCTAGATCGCCAAGGCTTGACAGGAAGAGGATGCACATTAGAGCCTCGTTTTGCCGATATACTGCCATAACCTGGCGGAAGTGGCTTAGGTGAATGTAAGGGTCCGTTTTCCCCTCGTACGTAGTGAATTTGGGCTGAAGGAAGCCTGTAGGTAGGTTTCCCCGCTCGAGCGGTAATGCAACAAAGGTACACGCTCGAGCGTAAACTTTTCCGCTCGAGCGTACTGTAAAAGAACTGGATGGGTGAAATCTCCGCTCGACGCCCGCTCGAGCTTGAGACATGACTCCGCTCGAGCGCCCAATCCTCCGCTCGAGCGGACTGTAAAACAGTGCAGGGAGATGCTGGATGCTCGGATTCCACGCTCGAGCGCCACTTTCCCCGCTCGAGCGTAAGTGCAAAATCTGGGAATTCCAGATTGCACCTCCAAGCTCAAACTCACATTCAAATATCAAAACCAATCCTCTTGGGCCCATTTTTTGGAAGACATTTATAAACACATAGAATAACATGGTTCAAAGCTCAATTTGAGAAATCAAGCCCAAGGGTGTTTAATTCAAACTCAATTTCAAACCATTTTTCAAGAATATGAAGAACATGCAAACATGCATGAATTCAAACCAATTCAAAGCTTCAATTTGATGCTCTAAGGAGCCAATTGTTTCCAAAACATGATGAAATCATGGACTTGAACATAATTGTGAACATGCATGCAACATTTTGCCATGAACTCAGCTCAAACTCCAACAACACTAACATGCATGCATGAATTATGCTCTAATTCAACAACAAAGAACCAATTCTAGGCTTGAATCACTAGAGGCTCAAGAATCTTGCATGAATAAGTTTAAACACAACAAAGAGGGGTTGAATTCCTTACCTAGAGCTTTAGTTACAAGGTGAGGAAGCTTAATTTGCAACCTATGTTCCAATTCCTTCAATTACCAAGCAATTTATAAGCAAAATGAGATGAAATTCACTCCTCTAGTTCCTCTCTCTCTAATGGTCGGCAAGAGCAAGAAAAAAGGGCTAATGAAATGTTGTTCAAGTGTGTACAAGGCTCACATGTGTGTGAGATAGTGGCCACTAAGTGTGGCAAAATGGTAATTACGGCAACTGTTGCAATTTAACTCATTTTAATCTAATTTAATCATACCTAATCAGTTTTCCGATAATTATACCATAAAATCACATTAATTATGACGATCATAAAACACCAATCGGTTTCTAATTCGGCCGCCGATAAGGCCTTCAATGAGCAGTTTAAACATAAGACATGAACAGATCAAACAAACAGTCAACAGATAAAATGCAATTCAAACAGATGTATTCATTCAATTCAGTTTCAATTTCGGTCAGTCAGTTCAGTACTTTTAATCAGTTCAATTATCAGTCATGATCAGTTCAGTTTAACAGTAATCAGTGTTTATCGGTAGGCAGTGGTGAGGGTTATTACACAAGGCTTTTAGACCGAACTAACCATACTGCGCCTTAACCGATATAAGATTTAGTATGGTGACCGGGCTAACCTCTTTGGGACCGGAGTAACTTTAACGGCTTTTTTACTCAGCCCTTCGCACTGAGGCCCACAACGGCCCATTTATGTAGCTCGGCCCAATTTCCATATAAATTACCCTCTCAGTCACTATAGTACTGAGAAGAAGGACCTAATGTTTCAAGAACATGCACGTGTTTGTCTTTTCAAGTATTTCTACATATGAACTGGAAACCTACAAAGCAACAGTGTCAAACAGATTCTTGACAACAAAGAAAGTGCAAAACTAAACATAAGTGCTACTCACCAGATTTTTCCCCTCAACAATCACGCGATTTTGAGAGCGAATAACACGCTTAACAATCCAGTCTCACCTCTGTCTTTACGAAAATATTTTATCCCTAAAAAGTGATTTTATCTTAAATTTTTATCTTTAAAATCTTAATTTATTAAAAATGAATGTTTTGAAACAAAACAATTGAACAATTTAAATAGAGAATATTACGAGCTTACATTTAATTAATTTTAAATAAATTATAAATACACTCTTGAGATTTGTTTAAAATATAGATTGTCTCATATAGTTTGAAAAATTACAAATATCCAATTGACAATATTTTTTATTTAATAAATTAACTAAAATAAATAAAGATAGCGTTTGGTAGAGTTTTAGAATTATAATTTGATAATAGAGTTGTATTTTGATTTTTTAAATTTTGGAATTATGATTTGAATGTGGAAAATTTGTTTGGTTATGAGTTTTGAAAAGAGTTTTAAATTGCAGCCGACTGGCCACCATTGGTGGCCGACAGGCCCTTTGTCGGCCACCAATGAAATTTACACAGTGTATTCCTGGGGTGGAGCAGAGGTGTTTTGGAAGTAGGTAGCTTCTTTGACGAACCTACGTGAACGGGGAACAAGACGTCGGAGGAGCATGAGAGACATCACTCCCCCCGTCGTCGAAGTAGATCTCCAAGAAGGGGTGGAGCAGAGAAGTCACCCACAAAAGAGAGGCAGCAGCGAGGGAGCTCCCTCCGTTCGCGAAACGAAACTAGCAGGACACCACGCCCGTTGAGTTTTTCGGTCTTCTTTGGGAATAAACCGATGACTGAAGCGGATTTGATTATCCACGATTCAAATATGGCAATCGAGTTTGCTTGATAGATTTTTCCGCCCGAAGTCCAGCAATCAGTGGTCGGTCTCCCCGATTACGAAGTTTTTCCGGAGGGCGTCCATGGAGTGGTAAAGGGACTATGCACCTCCTATGAAATCGCCATGCGTCTACATGCCACGCGAAGAGAGATAGAGCAGAAACACGGCCTCATTCAGAGCTTGGAAGCTCGTGCAGAGAAAGCCGAGAACGAGCTGAAAGCCTAACTCACTCGAGGACTAGTGTCATTTTTTGTGGAAAAAAATAAAATTTTGGTGAAAAAAATATAAAAATAAAATAAAATTGTTCAAGCCCTGCCCAAGCCCAAGCCCAAGCCTAAGCCCAAATACCTCCTGGACCTAGGCCTAATTTTCTGGCTTGTGGATCGGCTTGATTTTTGGCTGGAGCCCAAGATGCCCAACATGGACCGGCCCGAGCCCGGGCCCAAGTGAGACGGGCTGGCCCAAATTTACACCCATCTTCAATCCTTCTCCTCTTGATAAGAGTCCTTCCAGCAAAATCTAGTTTCCTTCCGATCAATCCCACCCAATAGTGGTTAATGATAAAGCAAAAAGCGCTACTCACCTAAGACATCATCGCATAATGGAAGGCTCTAGGTAGAACAGTCTCACTTATTATATTTTTATTTTATAATGTGGTATATATAAAAGAAATTATTACTCTAAACATTAAAAAATAAAAAAATAAATAAAAAAAACTAAACAAAAACATTAACATATATATAAAAAATATCAAATGTTAAATTATTTATCAACCATCGGTATAATGTTTAGGGTGTAGTCCATTCTTCCTCTTCTTATTTTTAGATGAGAAGTCTCATCTTGATTAGAGAAAATTTTATTTCATCCTTATACTAAGAGAAATAATTTTATAGGCCAGAGAAAATTATGAAACAACTAACATAATTTAGATATTAGAGAAAATCAATCAGGACATATAATTTAATGCGTTACAATTGTGGTCAGAAAAATTTAGATTCCAGAGAAAATTCATTACAATGACAGAAATAGACCACTGGTAATCAAAGAAGAAACATAAATTGAAAGTTCAAAGAAAATTGATGTTAATCAGTCAAGACACATAAGTTATTCCATATAAGATATTGCATCGCAGAGAAAATCGATCTCAATCAATCAAGGCACAAGGAAGGAAACAAACCAGTGGTACAAAGAGGAAAACAATCTTCTCTCTTCTTCTTACATTATCTCCTCCAAGAATCTTCCAGTGGTGTATGAGTTTCTGAGCTACTTTCCAACCCATTTCAAATTAAATCTGCAATCAAGGATAAACCAGGTAGTATTAGCATGACATGGCTAATTATTTTTTTAACCAGTAAATCGTCAAAATTAAATAAAATTAAGAAGAACAAGTCAATTTAGCACCAAGTAACATCAATAGCACTACCAACCACAAGATTGCAAGCCTAATTCCAATGGAAGCCAATTTTTGCAAATAATACAAACGTAAGAGTTAAACATCAATTGCGCGACAAGGTTTTGTATTAAATGAAAAATTATATAAAAGATCAAGACTTGGGTGGGTTATAATCCAAATCTCCCATATGAAGATATTGTGTGATTGTGCTGCTAAATGTCATGAAACATAAAATAAATAAATAAATAAATAAATAAAATCAATTCCCCTTTACATTGGTAGAAGCTAGAACAGCTGAAGAATACATAACTTACCAATAAAAGGAATTCAAGTGTAAATTGAAAACGTCTTAATACACCATCATTATCACACACAAAAAACTTTATTCAAGAGAACAATTTGTATTGCGAACTGACTGTCAGCCTAATCTCTAATTTACTTTAAATGATAAAAAAAAATTTAAAATAAAAGGAAAAATATTTTAGTTTCGGAACATCAATGTGAACCGCAATAATTAAATGTCCAATTGTGCCGGGTCTACTGACATAAAATCCAAGACTTAAAACATTTTTCTACATTTTCTCAGCAACCAAACAGTACTCCGCTCATATCCAAAAACGAAAGAGAAAATAAAAGCAAACAAATCCTGAAAACACTGAATGAAGGTTTGGTTGCTGAGGAATTAAAGGGGAAGAAAGCGAAACTTGCGATCAGAAGACAATACCAGAGATTGGAGACCCAAACATGCGACGATAGAGTTGGTCGTTCGTTGGACTGGTTTCTGTCGATCTCTCTCGATCATATCTTGTTTTGCCCCCAGGTAGGGCTGAGTAAGGAATCCGTGAAATCCGTAATCCGATCCAGTCCAGTCTAATCCGATAGATTTGGATTGGTTTTTTGAATCCATGGTTCGGTTCCGGATTGAAGAATTAAAAATTCGTAGTCCACGGATTGGTTTCGAATTGAACCCCACAGTTCCGGATTGGAACCAATCCGGACCGTATACAAATAGTCTATATTTTTATTATACATCCTCCCCCATAGTATCTTCTCTTATTCCATATAAAACATAAACTCAAACCTAAACCCGCATAATATCTTCTTTTATTACTTTTGTTTGTTAGTTTTTTATTTTAATTTGTAATGGTCTAAATACTTATGGTGAAACTAATTTTCTTATGGTTGTTTAAATTCTAGAATAGTATGTCGCTATTATAGAAAGACATGTTGCTATTGTAGAACTAATATAGCACTATGTTTATATTTTTATGAAATTAAAGTGTTATATATATATTTTTTTGTTATTTAATTATGTGAATCCGTGGTCTTAAATCAATCCAATCCGTATTTAAATGGATTGATTCGGATTGGTTCCAGGATTTAAACGGATTGGATTGGTTCCAATTTTTCAGGAACAGTAAATAACGGATTGGTCTGAATTTTACCCCAATCCGGACCATGCTCACCCCTACCCCTAGGGTTTATGCCTTGGGGAGTCAGGTTTTCATTTTCGGACATAGTGGACCATCCGACCCGACCCAATTCGTTGTGTGACTCTACTTATCAGATCCGTTTATATTAAATTTATTTTTTCAAAATAAATACTACTATAATAAAATAATGCGAATACCGATCAAATTAATTTTTCCTTCCTTATAAAATTTTAGAAATCAAATGAGTTATATGATGAGCCCACCACACTACGCTAAACGGGTCTATTTCTGTCAAAAAGGGAAACGAAATATGTTTCTTTTGTTTTTACTTTTTTTTTTAAATTTTTATAACAAGTTTTAAGAATGATACATTAACTAATAAATCTTATATTCATGGCTTATGAATTATTTAGTTTTATAATATTCTTATACATGTATAAAATAATGATATCTTATTGTCACATTTGACAAATTTTTTATTAAAACAATCGTATGTCTAAATTAAATAATGAAACAAATCAAACAAATAAAATAAATTATTTATCGAATCGAATAAATGATTAAAAGATCAAGTCGAATGTGTTAAACTCTATTCTTAAGACAAATTCGCCCCGCTACGGTACTTACGGATAAAAGACGTCTATCTCCGAAGATACAATGATCTTCATAAATTATAATAGCACTCCAAACAATTTGTACGGTGAACCAAACCTGTATTCTATACTTTCTGAATTTTATTCTAAAACTAGTATGAAGAATAATGAAGCAAGAAAGCAAAATGAAGGCAACAAAATAAATTTTTCTTGGATATTTTCAAACCCCCAAACTGCTGAAATATGCTGGTATTTATAGGCAAAATGGTAACCAACAGATCTGTCTGAACAGATCTAGTTTTGAACTGAACATGAACAGATTTGAATGAACAGATACAGTTCAAATTTTTTAACAAATCTGCAGCAGTTTGAAACTGTATAACTGCAGCAATTTCTAGCAGTTTTAAACCTGCCAAAAAACCAATTTAAATCTGTTCAAAATTTTAATCTGTTGTGGAATCAAATGACCAGGTGCAATTCAAACTCAGATCTATAGAAACCTAGTTTGAATTTGTTCAAATCTGCGTAGGCAGATTTAAATCTGTTTTGGGAAATAACAGAATCTGTCAGTTGCAAAACAGTTTCAAAAACTGTTTGGACAGATTAATCTATTTGGAAGAGGCACAAATTATGGACAAAAAAATTGAATTAATTTGAAATTCAAATAATTTCTTATAAGAATTAAGAAAAATTCAAAAAAATTTTGTCCAAAAAATTAATGTTAGAACCAACCCACAACCGACAGGCCAGCAGCAGCGGCGCACGTGTGTGGTGGTTTGACCCAATGTTCACTTTGTTCAT